CGGATGCATCACGAAATTGGAAGAGAGCGATGGCGGATGAAAGGTCAGCGTGCTGAAAAGCTGCCAGGCTCGCTCCGCGCCGCCTTCGGCGGAGTTTCTGCCGCAGCAGTAAAAATAAAGAAGTGTCTGCAGATTCCCTCTCATCTCGCCGTCATTATATCTGAGGAAGTGGGTCTTCGCGATGACGTCACACACACACATCAACCTGGACTTGTTTGGACCGAGCGGGAAAGCATTAGGTGCTTTGTTTACTCTACGTCGGAGGATAAATTTATACCAAACACTCATAGGATGCATATTGATTATAGTACTGCCTGTTTACATTGATGTGCAGAGTATTAGGGATGGTAATAAGAATTAAGGGCACTCTGCCACGTTATTTCCCCCTCGGATTCTATAAAAAGCTGATGGAAATCGAAGCCAAAATGATGTTGGCAGGCTGATGCCCCCACATCATGCACTTTCATCCCGTGTCCTCGTGATCAGAAGCCTCTGTCCATATGATAGCAGCATGATTGTGGCCGGTCCTCTACTTTAAAGGAGGTCATCTTGAGGATGTTACACAAAGTCTTTCAGATATCCCCTACAAGGTTTCCACCTTATCCTTGGGGCTTCATAACGTGCTCCCATGCTAGTTGAGAATTAGGATTTTCACATTTGTTCTTCAGACAGTTCCTCAGAATCAGAACAACTTGTAGTTGGAGAGAGAAAACTTTTAGTGTCTGTCTTATTCTAGTCAGTGTCTCACTTATGATCATGTTTGAGTGTTGCACTATAGATAAGCAATTAAATAGAAATGTTCTCATTCTTGCTCAATTCCATTGATGTTCCAGACCAATATCTGGATTTCTTCTGACATGTCACCCATCCAGATGTTGATCACGTACATAGTTTTACTGTCACTAAGTCGAAGATGCTTCAATCAGAAGCACACACAGGAACTACCTCACAGTTTTACAGTTTAGAAAATCCATTACAAAACTGTGCTGCAAAGCTAGAAAATCATACGACAGACTTTGGACTCTACCTTTACGCCGATTCCTGGTCGCCTCCTATTGGAAGTTTTCCCCAGCATGTAGAAGGAGGTCTCAGGGCAGAACCAGAACTCACTGGATGGATTTATGTATCCCCTATAGATCCCTAAGCAGGAGCTGGAGAGTGTCAGTTGGAAGATGTCTGGATTTCTCTCCTGAATCTGTTATCTTCATGACCCGACTTTTATAAAGCACGAGATAATGATTTCATAGCAATCACGTGCGTTTTTTGTTTTTTTTTACTTTGAAAAATTCAGGGTTCTTTTATTAGTTCCTGTTTTGTACCATGGCTTTTTGGGCACTGTGTTGACTGTGTTGTCTTATGTTGTTCCGGCAGGTGTGTTTATGGGCCAGCCTCAGATGCAGTTCGCCCCGCAGGGATTTGCCTCCGCAATGGCCCCCGCCTCTGCGATGGGCGGAGGGCCCATGATGCCCGGCATGCCCCTGCCTAACGGGAGCTACGTGGGCATGCAGCAGCAGGGGATGTTGCCAGCCAACCAAGGACAGAGCACGTGCAACGTGCCGCAAGGCCAGTGGAATGTGAGTCAGGTAACACACGTGAGGCAAATCCACCCTTTCATGAAACCAAAAGCGCTCTCAGGATGGTGGCGATAATTGATGTAAAATTCTGCTCATAAATCCTCCAGTGGTTCTTACGTCAGAGAGCACACCGAGGTTTCTGTATTTCTCGTCGCCTAAAGAAATCGGAATAATGCGATGCGAGCCTTTTTTTTCTCCCCGTGTGGCCTATCAGTTGATAGATGGTGCCGTAGTGTATTGTCTGTACTAATGCAGCGAGCCCGGTTCAATTATAACTAATGTCCCTTATCTCCTTTAGACAAGCAGCTTTAATCAGCAGCACAATCATTTTTATTTTACATTTGAAGTCTCTCTATGCATGTCATTATTTTTACCCCACACAATGTCTTGTTTTTGTTCTTTTTACATAATTTAGCCCAGGACAGTGATGGCAGTGCAACATTTTCACGATCATCCTCCACACATTTTTTGCTTCTATGAATTAAACAAGCAGTTAAGGAATTATGAGGATGTAGTTAAATGATTAACACTTATATCATATAGTATGATTGTATAATTTATTAATCTTTAAAAGGATCTTGATTCTGCACTCGATAAGCAGAGAAACAATGAATGAAAGGATTAATAGAAAGATAAATGACTAAATTACTGAATACAGTTTACTTTTTAAAATTAAGATCTCACATTAAATGACAATCTAGAGCAATGATACTCGTAATGTGAATACCACTGGACTTTTTTTCATAGCTAGACAAACAGCTTTTGAAATTACATTATTTAAAAAAAAACAGTTTGGTGCATAGAATAATTCTTTAAAACTTGGTCCCATATTATACTACACCCCTGATTAGAATCTTAAAACCAGTAAAAAAAATAAATAAATAAAAAAATCAAGAATTTGAATTTTGCACTGTTGGATAAGTAACTATAGCTTCAAATTGCAAAACAGAAGACACGGGTGAAAGAGACTTGACATTTTTAGCAGGCAGTTTATTGAAAACTGCAGCTTAAATGAAATAGCTTTTGTAAAAAGTTTAAGACCATTGTTCAGAGAAAAAAAAAAGAACCTTCAAAGCAGAAATAAGGTCTCGGTAATAAGTAGCTCAAACATTCTTGTTGATCACCTCTAAAAAAAATTTGTTTAGGCATGCTTGATGGACTTTGAAGAGGCTTTTTGGTTTTGAGGCCCTTCCCCTCGCAGATGCCATCTGATGGTTATTGGGCTGCAGTCTGTCCCATTTCTGGATTGACAGCCAATTGGATCTACCACTTGAATTTGATTTCTTTCTTCCATAACTCTCTGGATCTTTTATGAAATTCAGAATGACTCTCTTATACTGCATCCAGCCAGCAGCCATGGCACTTTGTAAGAGGCTTGCTTTGAACACTAACTTTTTTTCGCCATTTCCATCATGAGATCCTGACTACTTAACAGAAAATGACATGGAATCCAAATTCTTGTGCAGATATATATAGGTTTTTAATGTCATGTCTTTTTATCGGCTGTTGAACAGCCTATTCCAGTTAAATTATGGCTTTCAGCAAATTGCCTGCCCGAAAAATTGTGTCTTTTTCTCCCATTTCTTTCAAAAACTTGTGAATGTGTTATCTCCATATGCCTTATGGAGATAACACATCCACAAGTAGCTCACACCTCAGTGTTGTTTGAGTGCCATTTTAGGTATTGCCTAAAATGTGATATTTTCATATACAGGGTTTAATTGATATTAGGTGTTTCAAAGCTAAAGAAGCTCAGTCTTAGATTACATGTGATCGATGAAAACTGTCCACATATAATTTCACAATGCAGGGGTACAAATTGTGAGGAAAAAACTCTTCTTTAGACAGTTCCTTTGTGTTGGCCACATTGATAAGACAAGCTTACATCTTACTTGGGTTAGACGGGGGTTTAACAACACGTGCCAAGCCCTTCCTACAGGGCATTTTGTCTTTGTCAACAGACATTATAGGTACATTTAGATGCCTATTTTACTGCCTACTGCTGGGTTTATACTGCTGAATGCATAAGAGACTTAGCATATAAAGACGTTTTGTTAAGTCAGACACTGCATGGGATGCCAGTTGTACCCAACAGCTCCGATCTTATGTAGAAAAGCTGAAATGGCTGAGATTTTCCCTTTGGAAAAATAAATCTGTTATTGTCCATGAAAGAGTTGTCTGGAGTGTAATTTAGTTTTAGTTCATTTTACAAGAATATCAAAGTCTGATAATAAAGTGTTGACAGTTCAGTTACAAAAATTTCATTTAGCAGAAAATTTATCCCACAACATTCTTCAGGAAATCATGAATTAGGTGAAACCTTCATCCAATCCAGGCGTAATTATGTCGTGAATGCAACTTAACAGCTGCCTTTAGTCAGCTTAGTCTAGCATGCCATAAATCTGATTTGACATTTTCCCATGTCAGCAAAAGTCAGTCAGATACGATTTTAAAAAGCAATCATTGCTTTGAGACCATAAACACACACAACAGCTGAAGTGCTGTTGTGTGTGATTCCATACATTTTCATTGGCCGTAATAGGAGTCTGCTTGTTTTTGCAAGGACCAAAATACAGGAGCCCAAATGTTCAAGCAACCTTTTGAGGGTCAAAGACTAGTTTTGACAGAAATCGTACTATTAGTTCATAGTTCAAGTAGGAGTTGGACATCTAGTTGTGATTAGTAGGGTAATATGTTAATCCACAAAGGCCAAAAAGCAAGTGTGTATTTGCAGTAGGCACTTCAGAGTCTCGTCAGATCAAGGAGAGATCATACACAGCCACACATGCACACACTCGGTGGCTACCTTAGCGACGACACTCACTGATGTGACGCAGCTAGCACCATCTTCACACCACAAATCATATCCTCTAAATCCAACAATCAACTAAGTCTAAGTCAACTCTACTAACTCTAACTTTCGTCCCAGCCAAATCTGATTTGGAGGTCCAAGACACGATTGATTTATTTACATTATTTGTTTAATTGTAACCCCTTTTCCACACTCAGATGACCCAGCAGATGTCCGGCATGGCTCTGAGCAGCGCGGCACCAGCAGCAGGCGCCTTCAGCCAACCGGGGGCCCCCCAATCCGGGTGGTCCGCAGCTCCCGCGGCCCCCTCAGGCCAGACCCTCAGCACGCAGCTGTGGAAGTGACGACCACCGGGGGCCCAGAAAAACGAGGTGGTGTCAGAGAACGAAGCGGCGTACGGGGGCGGTCATTGTCAACAAAACAGCCAGACTGCCTCTCGACCCACTCGTCTCCTCACATCTCAGTATAAAAAAAAAA